TAGCTGCAATGATGGCTGCCTTGGAAGCTTGAAACGCTGCCTCGAGCTCAGGGGGCCAGGAGAATTTACAGCGGGGGCTGAGAAACGGCTTGAAGGGGGCCATTGAGTCACGTAACTGGGCGTAGTTGGAAACCTGGTTCACCAGGCCAAGCCAACTCCTGATGTCTGTGGTACTGGTAGGAGAGGGGAAGTCCTTTATGGCGTCTAGGTACTTGGGGAGTGGTTCTATGGTGCTATCAGACACTCTGAACCCAGCGAAGTCTACGCTCCTCTCTGCGAACTGGAATTTCTCAGGGTTGAGCACTATCCCTGCCTGGCCAACGCGGGTGAGGAAGTCGATGGTCCTCCACCAGTGTTGTTCGAGAGGTGTGTGTCGAAGGGGACTGTGTCATCAACGCATCGTTCTCTGCGCTCAAACTCCGCGAGGACGGCATCGAAACGGCGATTGTAGCCGTCCCCCGAGGACATGAAGCCTTGAGGTGCCCGCGTGTAGTGCCAGCGGCCAAATGGTGTGATGAAGGTGGTCAGGTGGCGGTCAGAAACGCGCAGAGGAACGCTGTGATAGCCGTTCCAGGCATCGGTTACGGTCTTCCAAGTGTCCTTGGGGATACGACAAGCGAGGTGAAAGGGCGACTCCATGGCAAAAGTCTCACGTTGACAGAATTTGTTCAGTGGCGAGATGTCCACAGTGTGGCGTGGGGAGCCGTCGTGCTTTCGTGTGATGACCATCCTATGACACCACGTAACGGCTTCGCCGTAAGGCACACCCTCGATGACGCCAAGAGCTTCGTCGCGCAGGAGGTCATCGTACACCCGTTGCTGCCAGTGGAGGGGTATGTTGGCCGGTGTGTGGCAGGCCTTAGGTGTGGCTGCGGGGTCAACATGGATCGCTATGGGTGGGCCCTCCATACATGGTAGCGCTCGATGAGGGCAAGTGTTGAAAGTGGATGAGGCATATCTGTCGAGAAGCCAGGCTTTCATTGTTGCATTGTTCTCTGGCGTACAGGGGAACGGCAGCTCAGAGGGACGTGGCGGTGTTGCTCCACGCTGTGGGCACGAGCACGTTGTGTTGCGCGCAATGGTGGGTTCCGGGCAGCCATCATTGAGGGCCCTCGTAGCGTTGATTGCTGGTGAGGGGCTGGGAACATGTGGCTGTTTATCAGAGGTATCACTTACAGGACGGCTGCTGGTAGAGTAGTCAAGGGATGGGAAGGTACGCGGCAATAGACCAAGGTTCAGGAGTGAGTCGTAAGACAGGTACAGGTCCTTGACAGAGCTGCTCACATAGACCATCGAGTGGCATGCTGTTATGTCCCCGCTGCTGAACTGTGTAGCGAGTTTTGCGAAGAACGCTCCCTCTATCGAGATGGGCGAGCGGTTAGCTGCTGACAGGCTGAGGCTGATGGGGTGTAGGTGGTCACGAGAGAAACCGCAGGCTAGGAAGTCGGATAACGACCACAAGTCTGATTGGGCGCCAGTGTCGGCTATGGCGGATACTTCAGCGTGGATGGCTGAGGAGGGCTTGGAGATGTCACTGTCGTTCCCGCCAGGTCGGGAGAGGGATATGGTGATGGGGAGCCTAGGATGATCTCTCAAGCGGGCCCTTTTCCACTCCTCCTTGGAGAAGATATGGTGGTCTAATCGCGCTGCGAATGGTTTGGTGACAGTGGCATGTGTGGTTGCCTTCCGGGTGTGATGGTGTCGTTGGGAGGCTCGAGGGGGTCCTACACTCTTGGTTTAGAATGCTGCTATCTGTGAAATTGGCTCCGTTGCTGTGGCATGGACCCCTGGAGCCTGGGGCAGGCGCTGTGGGGGTTGACGCTGGTGACGTTTTTTACGGCGACTGGCCCTGTAGCATTCGATGCACATGTGGTGGGATTTCTCGTTCCAACCACGGGCTCCTTCCGTGAAGAGCTTAAAGGTGATGTGACAGCCGGGGCATGATGCTTCCTTCGCCCGATCTGCCTGAGAAGGAGGGGGGGCATGGTTCGGTGGCGATGTCTTTTGCTTCACGAAGGAGGAGGCAGCTGAGAGCGAAGGGGAGGGGAGGGTATTGCGTGCCATCTCTTTAGTTTCTACCAAGGCGATGGCCTCGTTTAATGGTTTCTCTAGTATGCCTGCTATGCCCAGCACTTCCCTCCTGATGTCAGAGTCGTAAAGGCCATTCAGGATGACGTCACGGATGACGTGGTCGGTGTAGTCGACCGAAGCGCCGCAGGTGCACGAAGTAGTGTAGGAACAAGTTTCCGCCTTCCCCCGCACTTTAGCTGTAAAGGTACGAAAGGGCTCATCACGTTCCTGCCGCAACTGGAGAAGCTCTGTACGTAGCACGCAAGTGGCGACTAGGATTATCGCTAAAGAGCGCATGGCGGCCAGCAGCCCAGTTAGGTTTTCAGAAGCTGCATTTGGATTGGCTTTAAGGAGGCTGTCCCCAAGTTCAGGTCCCGCACACTGGAAGAGCTGGAAGGGCGCCGAGGCATCGTTGATGCCTGAGCCTGATTTGAAAACCTCCCAGCGTCTTGTGAAGACATTCCACTCTTCTATCATGACTCCGATGTTTATTTTCGGCCGCTCTAGTTTCGGGCCACTGGTTGTTGTGGGTGCTGGAGGTGCTGTAGGCGCCGGGACGCGGTGGGCCAGATCGTGATTTGAGATGAGGGCAATTGCCAAGGCCTCAGAGACGTCCTCTGTTGCGAATGTGCAGTCAGGCACGGAGCATTCGACGACTACCATGATTACGTGACCGTCTGTTTCATGAAGCGAACTCCTCGATTTATTTGGTTCAATCACAACGATGAAACAGATCTACAGGATAAATCACAAAATCCAAACACTAAGTAATGCGAACTATTAAGCTAAAGGAAACACAATATAATAGACTTACGATAATAAGTTCAATTCGCAAGGTATTTGTTGATGCTCATGAGTTTAAGTGTCCGAAACGATCTGGCTGACTACCACAGGTCAGCGGTCCTAACGAGTCCTCAGTATGTGGACAGCGGTAGTCCCATCAGTAATCATGTAATGTGTATTCTTCTTGAACTCGCCCGTTACTTCTTGGAAGAGTTAGATAAGGTTCCTGAGGAAGCAGCATGTACAAGCATGTCAAAGAAATGGGGTATCCCAGGTAAAATATGAACTTATTTTTTAACTAATTACACTAGCCCTCCCTGATTAGCTGTAGCTACCTGCGGGCAGTTCCGCTGCAAATAGTTTAAATGAAATTAATAACAGAATGTTGCTGTATGTTTCTGTTGTAGTTCCCAAGGTGAGAAGGGTCTTCCAAAAGAACCTATAATGAGTACATCATTTCAAAAGGAGTTAACAAACAAGGGGATAAAACCAACTCTGTATGATCCAAGGGTCAAGGAAAGACAAAAATTAGATATCCCTTGGGTTCAGGTAATGCAAAAGCAATTAGAATCAATTCATCCTCTTATTGGTTTTTCGCATGTCATCCCTAAAAACCCTAAATTGCTGAGCAAGATAGACACCACCAAGTATGGACCACTTTTTATTGGATCTCCACTCTCTTTCCATTGAAGTGCCTTGGAGTTCAATTTTACTGTTGTCACTAACCTGGAACCAGCTGTTAACCTTGCCCAAGCTGAATCATTTGATATTTACAAGATAAACTTGCCACACCAATTCCCAGATTTACCTGAAGCTGTCCATTTCATTACTAATCAAGAAAAGTTCATTGAACAATTAAGGGTGACACATCAAGAAAGCAGTGATGTTGAGAAAGGAACTGTTAAGCGAAGGGAATGCTCTGAATGGATTAAACACCGCAAAAATAGACTTGGATCATCAGTGTGTCACACAATTTATGGAAGAAAAAGAAGTTTCAATAATCTTGCCAAGGAACTTAACCAGTCCTTTAAGCCTCTTGATGAAATGCCAGCATTTCAACAGAAAAAGTTAAAGCATGGCATAAAATTTGAGTCAGTGGCAAGAGAGAAATACCATGATGTCATGAAGCACTATTTGAAGAGGCCAATTACCTTGAGGGAGACAGGAATGGTTATTCCTCCAAGCATGTTTTGGCTTGAGGGCAGTCCAGATGGCCTTGTGATTGATGCATGTTCTTCCTCTGGGAAGATAGGAACAATTGAACTGAGATGTCCAGAGGAGAAGAAGAACCACACCCCACAGGAGGCAATGGAAGATGACTTATTTTATATGGAATTGGTCGATATGGTAAACCAAACCTGAAGAAAGATCATCACTTAGGGTATTACACTCAAGTTAGGCTGGTTATGGGTTTCTGTGGTTTACAGTGGGTTGACTTTGTAGTTTATCTGTTCAAGGGAATGATCATTACAAGGGTTCTATTTGTTAAGATTATTTTGACCAGGTAGTATGTAAACCACGCACCTTGTATGTGAAATGGTTTCTCCCTCAGCTCATGGCCTGAATTTGGTTTGGTGCATTGCACAATATAGCTGATCAAGATGTGACATAATTACGTGTTCTAATTTTTCTGGAGATTTTAGCCTTAAGCTCCAGTCGTAATCAATAGAAGTAGACATTGGGCATAAAAGGATCAGCCAGAGAATAATATACTGTGATTACACTTTTGACAATACATTAAAAGGGTTGTTTCTGTCAATTTTACTAAGGTTACTTCATCCATGTGCAAGAGTATTAAAACACGTTGAAAGTGTTACGTTTATTTTGATACTGAAATGTATTGAGAAGTGCAATTACTTGAATGCACCGTTGTGAAAATTAAGTTTCTGAGTAAGTTCTTTGAGCTTCTCAGCAGTAACTTGTCTTTTAGTCCTACATATCTTTACTTTTGTCAGTCCAGTGATATGTGCAAGTAACACAAGAATAATACTGCAGGTGTTAAAAATCATGGAAAGAAAAGTGATTATCAATCATTCTTAACAGAGCAGTGTTGTCATCAAAAAGGGAAATACATTTTTTGAATGTAAACCAACTTGACCCTTGTAAATAATAGCACTAGCTGAAGTGAATGGTAAACCTTAATTTCTTTATTGCTTAATAAGTGGGTCCATAAAGTTGCAGAGAAGACAAGCCACTGTCCATATTTGGTATATGATCCCATTCAAATTCAGTGGAATTTCATTCTTTAAGACTTTAAATTTCTTTATACGAGCAATAATACGTTCCACGTGGATTCTAACTGAAGAAATTGTTTGACTCATGACATCTTCCTTGTCAAGCTGCTCCTTGCCATCAAGAAATACAGGTATGTTTACCTTAACTCCAAGTGGGTCAAGTAGTTCCTGCATGGTAAATCCCCTGTATGCCATAACTGAATCTCCTTTCTCCCAAAGTCCTGGGTGTAGTATACCACACCTGGATACTATTTCCTTATCTGATAGCGATCCTGGATACAACTGACTCACAAAAGTTACTGCTCCCGAGGGACTGATCCCAACTAGAGCTTTGTATGTCACATGGTGCTTAAAGTGTGAGTAAAGGGCACTCTGTGTAATTAGGCTAGTTGGCACTTGCACAAAGATCTCTGTACAGTCAATGATGCATCTTGTTGAGGGATAAGTGTCTTTAAAACATGGTGGCATGGATGAAATAACCTGATCTTTACATGGCCATATAGGAATGCTTCCTAAACAGAAGTACATATAATTTGAACAGGTGATCAAGTACCTAGAAATTGTTGACTCGCCAATACCAAATAACCATGCCAAATGTTTCTGTCCAAATCCACATCTTAACCACACCAAGAACATAAACAATTGCTCAATAACGTCCAATTTAGGGCTCATACAAGGCTTACTTCCTTCTGTAAATCAATATTTATCGGGTTCCTCGGGCACCTTCTTTGAAGCCTCATAGTATTTCAAATTACTAGCATTCTCACCTGGATTTAAAATTTGGAGAAGAATGTCAAACTTCACTGGATGCAAACCAGTGAATGACTTGAAAACATCTACTTATTCTCTTATGTTCCTTGAGTTCAACTACTTTTTAAACAACTTTTGTCTTTCAGCTTTCAGCTCACGGTTTTCCTTTTCAGCATCACTTTTTTGTTTAATCAAATCAGAGATTTTCATATTCACCTTTTCTACAACTTCTCTCAAATGAGCACAGTTTCGCAGGTCACTGCTGTTTTATTATTTTGATTAACAAAACTTGAGCTTAAAGAAGATGGTTCTGATTCAGGCTTAGAGTTTTCATTTTGCACAAAACGCTCTTGAAGACACCTCTTCGGTGATTTTCGACCAAATGTCCTTCCACTTTTTTTTCCAGCTGAAAAGAGAAGGAATGGTAGTATTGTCCTTCAGATCTTTCTTGCCATTTTTATTTCCTCTGGGCGAAAATAATGTTCACACACCTTAGTGTATTCAGTCACAACAAATCCATCTCGGTGTTCTTGTCTCTTTATAGCCAAAAGCCAACGATTTTTAACTTTGGCTTCCAAAGGGAAAGAAAAAAATGAAATGCCAGTTCTATTCCCTTGGTTGTCGTAAAACAAACTTTGACAGTCAGGCACGCAGCAATATTTACTTCCGCCACCGGGCGAACAACCCAAACAGTTGTCCGCCATGTTTTATGTTTGTCCACCCGAGCCTCGCTTTCATGCTTAAGCCCGTGGGCTTGTGACGAATGCGGAAAAGGTCTATTAAGAGGACTTAATTGCTCAGGTGATTAAAGAGATGCGCAAGCTCTGATTGGTCGATGATTGCGTCATATCTCGCTATTAACACCACGCGCTGGTTGATTACGGACGCCAAATTTTAATGTGGCTGCCTCGCGTTTTGACGATAAGTGACAGAGGAAGTGATAAACGCAATAGAAGAAAACTCGACTCTGAAGATGTTACTAAGTTTAAGTGTAACACCTTTCGAAAAGACGATATGTAGTTTTCGCTGACTGAAATTGTCAAGTTCTTGTTACAGAATGGTTTCAACAACAATATGAATTCACAAGGAAATTTGAAAGCACCTGGGCAATTATACTAAAACAATTACTTTCCCCAGGATCAGTGAATATTGTTGAATATCCCCTCGACGATTCAACAATATTCACTCAGCCTGAGGCGAATAACTGTTAACCCAAGAAAATGCCTCCTCCAAGGATATGGATTTCATCAAAGAAATGCAATGTAGCCCGAAATCCGTGCATGCTGTTCTTTACCCATTTCAAACCCATTTTCAAACCTAGTAATTAAAAAGGTTTATTGAAGACAGTCAAGAACGCGGCTTTGCAAGCAGCAACTGAAATTTGTTTCAAGTCTTTGACTCCCGAGATCTGACTATTGACTCTCTCTTCCAGCTGCTGCACATTTCCTTGTAAATTAGTTACATGAATTTGGTGTAAGATCACGATAATAGTCTGTATTTCATAAGTTTGATATTCTCATTATTGATTCCTTCTTGGAGTTAAGGGGTTAACAGCCGGCTCTACATGTTTCTGGCATCTCAATACTTAGAACTTGAAGCAAAAGAGCTTCTACGTTCCTCCCACTGTATTATGTACTCTGTGGTGGGTCAGTAAATTGTCATGATGGAAGAAAGTGCTGAGAGAACGATAGAAGAAAAACAAAGATCAACACTTCACTCGACCTTCCTAGTTTGCGATCTTACAAACCATTAGGTCTTCACAAGAGGTCTTCGCAATTGCCAATATCAAGAAGAAATCATGCGACATTATTTTCTCTTGCCAGTGACAACACAAAAATATACGCCTCTTAATTTGAATATATCAAAAAAGTTGAAATGGTAAATTGGCCACGTAACGATTACAAAAGCTGACGTTTCGAGCGTTAGCCCTTCGTCGGGGCGAATAGAGGAATTGTGGGTTATGTGTGCTTTTAAAGGCAGAAAATGGAGCTACGTCATTGGTGGGAACATGGCAACGAGAAAAACACGAATAAAACCCACAGGGATCAACGAACGCTTTGAAGGCTTTCCGACCGTTTTTAAGCATTTCTTTAGGCGGATTAAGCGAATCTGGCAATCTTTCTGGATATCTTGAGTCATTTTTACATGTACCCCAACAGCAATGCCTAGTTGCAACCATTTTAGAAAGTTAGAGCATTTTTTGAGCGAAAATAGTCTTGCTTCTGACACGTTTCGCATACAAGTCCTTGTAAAGATTTCGAGTGTTTGTCCTAAACCAGCGGGGGGTCCAAAGATGACATATCTATTTTTAGACCTGGCGCGCAGCGCTATTCGTCTTAGTAGAAAGCTCTATTATCACAAACTGATTTCACACAACACATGAACGATACGAAGAAAACATGGACTGGAATCAACGACGTACTGAACCGAAACTAAAGAAAATCAGAACCCATTGTTAGCCCTTAAACGACTAAGCGGGAATGGTATGACGTGTAACCCAGCAGAATTGCCGAACGTACTAAACGATTTCTTTTCTCCGGTTGGCCAAAAGTTAGCGGCAAATGTACGAGATAGTAATTATCACTACAACGAATACTTAACAAATATCAATTTCCCCACTTCCTTTTTCTTTGAACCAGTCATTTCATCAGATATCGAACTAGAAACCTCGCTTTTACCACTAAACAAGGCTTACGGACTATATTCATGCCCTATTCGTGTTTTGAAACGTGCAAAGAGCATACTCGCTTCACCACTAGCTGAGCTTATCAACTTGACCTCTCTGTCCAAAGTGGGAAATATCCTTCCAAGCTAAAACATGCAAAGTTATCCCGGTATACAAGGGCTACGATGAGACCGACCCTAGCAACTACCGTCCTATTTCACTACTCTCCGTCTTCAATAAAATCTTTGAAAAAATTATGTACAAACGATTGAAATCATACATCGAATATAATGAACTATTATTTGAAGCCCAGTATGGCTTCAGAGAGAAATTTTCCACTCGGCATGCAATTTTGGACATAGTGAATACACTACAAACTAATATGGACAAGAAAATGTTCACATGTGGTATTTTTCTCGATTTTAAAAAAGCGTTTGATTCTGTCAATCACACTATCCTACTTGATAAACTGCAACATTATGGGATAAGAGGTATTGTACATGAGTGGTTCTCGTCGTATTTAACTAATCGAACGCAAACAACGCATATTGTGTAAGAAAAAGCAACTGCGTATTTGAGAATTACCAATCAAGATTTATTGGAGTTCCATCTAGTCTCGCGACGTTTACAACACGAGGCCGAAACCCTAGCACACATACTTGTGCAATCACAGCTTTTGTAATCGTTACGGTGGCCAATTTACCATTTCAACTTTGTTGATATATTCAAATTATTTCGTTACTCCCACTGACGCAGCCCCAAACAGTTTCTTTCGAAACTATCAGCCTTTATACGCCTCTTAGTTTTGAAAATCCTTCCAACCCCACTTCTGTTCACGTCGTTTAACCCTTTATGTGCTTACAACTCTAAATTTCATTTGAAATGAAAATGAATGAATGAATGAAAATCAAGTAAAGTAACGATTCTGGCAGGTGAGCTGCAATTTCGGCATATACAGACACTCTTCCCTTTTCCAACGTGTGGCTTCGTGGTACAGTTGGTAGTAGTGCACAACTACTATCTGGGTAGTAAGGGCTCGAATCCAGTCGAAGCTTGAAAACTTTTCAGTCTTTTCTACAGTTGCTTTAATTGCAGCTCATCTGCGAGGATCGTTGCTTTACTTCGTTTATCTCGGAAATTACAGAAACGTGAAATGTGCCTCATTTATGCTTTTGCCATCAAACCCACCGTAATTTGCTGACTCGCCAACGTTCTCCTGTTTCTATGTGAGCTGCTAGTCATCATATCATATATACTTCTCTAGAGGAATGGTTAACAACCCACTACAACATATGAGGGTGAGTCAGGAAATGAGCATCGGTAAAAGCCCGTGGAAGATCCATTGAAGGAAAACTGGATCAATTCTTTATTTGACCTTCGCAGTTTGCAATCTTAAGACACAAATATTTAAGTCTAACCCGAAAGGTGTTCGCAAATGCCTCATTGCCTCATTTACCAATATTAAGAGGAAATGATAGTGCTTTATCTTTTGCCGATGTTGATCACGCAATTCGTTCATGAAGATATATGCTTTTCAGTGTTGGAAGTCCTTTCAAGGGAACGTCGATTCAGTTCACGTCATCTGACCTTTTTAGGGCTTTCTCTATGATTATGCAAGAACTAGGTAGATGATTTCTGACCTTCTTGCTTTTTATTTCATACAACTACTTAAAAGACAGAGTTTTCTTTAATAGCGTCTCACACCAGATAGTGAAACTAATTGTTAAATCCAGCAAAAAGCTTTCATATTAGCTGACAGAGCAATGTTTGCCAATAGCCAATTTTCCTGTTGCTCTTCGTTGAAATTTGCAACTTGGCCAATACTTGTCAAAGGCGAAAACAAATCAGCCCTAAGGGAATTGATACTAATTTGCTCTAAGTTAAAGTAATCAGCTTAATCATTGAAAATCTTGTATGGTATACTTAACGATACTATGAAGCGATGACTGGTGGACAATGAGGGAGATCCAAGGATACCACTACGCTTCTCAGTGATGGAAATCCTTTCAAGGAAACTTCGATTAATTTCACGTCATTTGGCCCTTTTAGTGCTTTCTCTATGGTTATGCAAGAAGTAGGTAGATGATTTCTGACCTTCCTGCAATTCATTACATTTAGATACTTAAAAAACGAAATTTTCTATGGGAAATCTCTCATAACAAGGGTCTCACACCAGATGGTGAAACTAACCGTTAAATCCAGCAAAAAGCCATCATACAAGCTGTCAGAACAATATCCGCCTGTAGCATTTTCTTGTTGCTCTTCGTTTAAATTTGAAAATTGGCACTATTTGTCTAAAGCCAAAACAAATCAGTTATAAGGGTATTGATACAGATGTTTACCGGCTCTAAATAAAAGTAATCTACTTAATCACTGGAATTGCTGTATGGTTATATACTCTTCGATACTAAATGAGAGGATGATTGGACTGTTGGGGAAAACCTTAAGGACACTTCTAACAGGAAGATACAGTCCTTAACATTAGCACTAACTAAGACCTAAATAGGTTTCTATAATGTACTAACTCGGTTTGAAACGGGAAAACTGGCGAAGGTGAGGGTATTCTATTTTCTATAACAGTCATAAGGGATTACTGCTGCTCCACAAAAGTATACACTTAAAAAGTAAATGAATTGAAGGTGGTTGCCTAACAATCAGAGTTTACTAATATGGTGCTACAGCGTCCTGATAGAGCTGAGTCAACTTCTTGTGACACTTTGTCGCATCTGGTCGATTATCAGGTTTTTTGTCCCAGCAATCCTGCATCAGATCGCGCAAACCAATTGGAGGCTTCTTCGAGCCTTCAACATGTGCAGGTCTTGCGCCCTCAAGCACCTTGTCATAAAACTCCTTCACATCTCCTACCAAATCAAGATGGGCTCTCTTACCGTACCACATCTCCCAGAGCATTATACCGAAGCTGTACACGTCTGCTTTGTAATCGTATATACAGGACTTCATCACTTCCGGAGCGAGATACATAGGAGTCCCCGTCATGGTACCCGTGATCGCTTTGGCTTCTTTGGAAACACCAACATCGGCTACTTTGGCAACATTTCCTAACGACAGCTGTGGGAGAATAAGATAATATCCATGTAGACTGATACAGCTTCAATACCAAAGTCCAAAATTATTCTCTCTTAAAGAGGGCAAAGCAATGTGAAAAAGAAAACAAAGTGCCTAGAGGTGTTAACCTGGAATGCGTTGTCGTTATTCACTGTCACACTTGTTTTATGTGGAAAATAATCAATTTAATGCTGACTCTTCAATGAACAGGAATTAAATTAAAAAAATGGAATAGAAAGAAAAACTCAAGAACACGAGATATGATGTGTGGTCATGATAACCACTAGTTCCAATTCTTAACTTACCAATATATTTTCCAGCTTGAGATCTCTGTGAACGATACCTTGTCTGTGAATGTATTTCAGAGCATCGGCAATATCTTTTGCCCATCCAATCACATTTCTGGCAGCAGTAGGTGTTGATGACTGACCGGGTACCTTGCTTTTATGCCGGAAAATGTGGCTCCTCAAGTTTTCCGTGCAGAGCTCCATAACAAGTATTGTTCGTAGCCGATCCCCTTCCTTATGTAGAGCAGCACCATAGAACTTTACAATAAATTGATGGTTCAGCTTCCTACACAAAGATAACGCATGGGTTAACCCTGTACACTAATATGCATATGCTCTGTACTGTTCTCCATAGATATTCCACTATCTTGATAGGAAGATTTTGGTAACATTCAAGAGCTTCTTCAAGTGGCAGTTACATCCCTTATTTTCGTGAGTTTAACATTTGAGTCAGCAGTAATGATTTAAGGGGTCAAAGGGTCAATCGCCATTAATGACCTTTCGGAAAAATGAATGGTGATAAGTTTACTGTAAAGGTCATTCTTAATTACTATCTCGATGTGCCCTAAAATATACATAGATTTTGACGGTTGTGAAATCCTCAGAAAAGAATGTAATTGAATTTTCAGCGGAATGAATTTTCTCCGTTTTGAAATTTCATTCTTCATTATCTAAGGGATTCCAGACAAATACCACAATGGGGTCCTTGGAAAATATCTTATTTTAAAGATAATAAAAATATCTTATTTGATGCCAGCCGGAATAGATTTAGGTTTTAGCGTTGGGAGATGGGGGAGGGGGTAATTTTTCGAAATTATATAAATGCGAGGTAAACTGATAAAAAAAAAGAAACCCAACAACCTGAGAGTCTCTGTTTCGGAGAGGAAGCCACTAGCAGTAGCCTCGTTGAGCTCTTCTTTCCACACTTTTAAAGCCACTCTCAGGGGTTGAACCCCTTCTTCTATCTTTAATGTTCCTCGATAAACCGAGGCGAACGCTCCGATTCCAATAACTGCATTTTCTTGCCACTCTAGATCATCACAACTGATGTCCATGATGGGAGCCTCTTTGATGCCAAACACAGCCATTTCATCCCTTAGATTTACACTCATCCGATGTAAGGGCTTGAAGGAATCATTTCGAGAATTTCGGATGAATGTATTCGTTTGGGAGACGATGCGTGACAGTGCACTACAGTAATCAGACACTTGGTGTGTAATGGACTTTGACTGAACGAAGCCCAACATTTGAGGCTTATTTTTTTCCTTTCTCGCAGATTTCCTAGCTTTTAAACATGAAACGGACTAAGTTTTGATCATAAACGTTTAACTTATCGGTGTGCAACATGAGTACATTATCAGACATTGACAAGATCAACGACTTCATGGAGATGGCAACATAATGGCGTCGCTAAAAATTCCGACCAAAGGGCTGAAAAGTTTGGACGAAATGAAACAAAAAGTAAAAGAGACACTCCGGTCGTTAAAGAAAAAGTCAAGCTGGACGGCAAAGGAGGTGAGAAATCTAGAATTTCCTTTTAAAACATGGGCTACTAGCAGATTCAATTTATGTATAAACGACATTTTTAACACAATAGCGGAAGTATCTAGATGTGACTTTTATGAATGGTAGATGCAGTTCGTATCGTGAAATTCAGTCACGAATTGTTTAACAGCTCTATCTCTCGACGCTAATGCAGTCATCGTTTACGATTTATTTCATGTGAATCTTTTCAATAATGCCATCTCGGAAATGAGTAGTACTAGAAGAAGCCTAATTACCATAGATCAGTGGAAATCGTAGCATTCACTCGATCGCCAAATGTTTCTCTAAGTTCAAACTTAGCAACACGTAGAGTTAATTACAAGACCGCTCATTACTTATGGATGCTTTCATCAACGATTCTTACAACTGATCGTGAGTGTCACCAAAATGATTTAAAATAAGAAATTGATAAGTTGTGCTCGCAGAGTGAGAGATTATCATGCATATTGATGTTTATAATCTGGTAAGTTTGTTTGAGCAACGATCGAGCCTCACGGTTCAAGTTGAGAGTTACGGCACTTAGAACATCAGGGATTGATAAATTTTGTTCCAATAGTGCCGTCTTTTCCTTGCACCCCGTGATTAAAGTTCGGAAACATTGTAAACCTTTGGGAAAATGTTGGCTATTGTATTAGGATTATGTTTTCATATTTTCTTAGAAAAGCTTGCCTAATTTCTGCAAAATATATGACAAAAGACTTATTGTCCAGACTGACATGATGCTTTTCTACAGTGAAAAGATACCACAATTTTTTTATACTACTCTTAACTGTCACCGAAAAGTTGGATTCTTTTGCCAAAGGTAAATCGTGCGGGAGGATCTTGGCAAGGAATTGCTTTGGCTAAACATCAACATTTTCTTTCGTTCACACAATACATGGATATTTACATAGGTATTCATGGATAACGTAATGCAAACGCTACCCTAAAGATGATTGCATTGTGGCTCTTTTTCCGAGCTTTAATCAGCCTAATGAATGTACGTACACGCTAAATTAAGCTGCACTCAGAACAGGGATGTTTAAGCGCTATAGAAGTGATTTTATTGGTGACAAGGATTTCCGAAATGACTATAAGGCGGTAAAATTAACCAATTAGGCCGAAATTAAACTTTAATTTACCCGGGCGAATGTTGATGCATAGTATTTTATTTACCTTGTGATATTTTTCAGGCGTTTTCAGTTTTGACGGAGGCGAAGAAAGAAGACGAGAGAAAACGAGCAACCTTGC